AAAAAATCCAACAGCACTGAACATCTGCATGTTGCCTTTGCATTAGATTATTATATCAAATGTACTGTCAGGTGAGCAGGTCTAAAGAATAAGCATTAACTACAGTTGACACTAATTGTTCTAATATTTTATGCAAGAGGATCAGAGGTCAAGAGAGTCTTCAAACTAGTGTTGTGGTTAAGAACAGATGGCAGTCTGTTCCCACAAACCATTGTCTGGCGCAAATTACAACATCACCTCCTCTGCGTTAGAGTTATTAACTGTACATTATTGTCTTGATGTACTACCAGATTATATAAATAACAGAAGAAAAGAGGAGCTAAGCAGCTATACTTCATTCAAATAACATTGTATAACTGGTAATACATGTACAATGACTCCTGCTAACCTGAACCAACAGTACACTGTAACTCAACTTTTGCACTACATATACATGTAAGTGAAACTAAAATTGTTTTCCCCTGTATACGATCTTACATGTACATTTACAGTAATTTAACCACTGATATTTCAAATCTCTTATCAGTAGCCCCCACCATTGTATTGTTCTGCTGTGATGCTTTGTTTCGCTTATTCCCTTCATATCTGTTATGATTTGCTATGCTGGTAAAACAATTTTGACAAAAGTCAACCTGCTTTCATCATTACATGTATTTTCATTGGCATCTCAATTTTACCCTAATGGTGCTTTTGTAATAAACCTGATAGAACTGCACAATGTTTTATTCCCTAGTTTCTAGTGATTTGTTTCCATCTCCCAGTGATGCAAACTCCCAATAGCTCCAACCTTTCAAGGTTTGAGTTATTGAAGGTCAGTGTTTACTGCAGTTAAAATATCTACCTCCTTGTTGGTGGTGAGGATAAGGAACACATCATCAGTAACTGTCGTCGTGGATGGATTTGGACCTGGCCCGTCATTCTTTGCATCTCCAAACTTTCTCCATAACTGAAATGATTGTTAATTTTAAGTGCAATTGAATCTATAACCTGTCGATTAGAGATGTTTATGCTGTAGTTTAAACTTGTCTTAGATTGGGAATTTTTCAAACTAGTTTGATACGTATTTTCCTTTATGTGATACTCATTACCGTTACCGTGAGACGAAAAAAATTGGAATCACAACATACATGCACGTGTTGTTATTAATTATTGACCTCAATTAATTTTGATTTCAACTACATTGTATTATGTAGTTTGTTTTCTTCTAGTTAGTTACTAAATAATAAGGAAAACAGCGTCAAAACCTTGTTGACGAGTTTAGTACTTGTCACTTGACAGGCCCTCACATTTCTTGATACCTTTTTAAAATTAATTCTCCAAGTGCCTCATCCAGTACGTCTACAAACTGTGTGCGTACCATAGATTTAGGCCAAATTGTTTCTTCAAACTTGGCCAAGAATTTATCACCGACAAGGCCTCAACATAGGAGAATTGAGAACAGAACTTGATGTAGTCCTGAAGTGAATCATGGCAACATTGAAGAATTCCTTGGTGCTGCTAATCAGAGTTACAGGTACAGGCATGGAAGCAGATATCAGTAGTCATAGAAAATTGTATGTAAAATATTATTATTATCTATGACATTCATAAGTATATTCATTCATAAATGTACTAGAGATAATTACATGTAATTTAAAAAAAGAGTTAAAGTACAGTGTACAATTACAAGAATATTCCTTTTACCTTTCTTTTTGCTATTGTCTTTGAAACCCGTTTTGTTTCAATTTTAAAGGTCCTCACAATCTATGTACATTAAAAAGAAAAATCCACAACAATTTACTCATAATCTCAAGTATAACTAACAAGTTAAAGAATCCATTTGTTGGTTGAAAATAATATGGTGTTTGTCTTTTGAATCCGTTTTCTAATGTCTTTAGTACCTGTACATACGTACATACGTACCATACGTAGTTAGCACAACAAGGGACTACAGGCGCATTAGTTTAGGGTCATCTAGATCAGGATCACTCAGATCATGGTGCATCAAAAGAGCTGATGAATCTGTGATCATATGAGCCATTATCTTAGTGATTTTGGATAACTAATCCTGATCCAGATCACCCCAAAGGAATGCACCCTATATGTATAGGAAAACCAGTCTTGTAATGGCATCATTTGAATCGACTGAACCATTTAATTTTACTGTAATTAGCATCAACAATATACATGTACACTGTCTTGTTAAGCAGATACAGCTCTACAGGCAAAGATTAAAAATAATTGACTACCTTAATAACTGAGTAGGCAAGAGTGTAAGGTGTAAAGTGTGGAAAATGTGAAAAGAGTGTGAAAAATGGTGTTCATTCGACAATATAGATACCAGTCGCCTACAACCATTCAAGGCAGTACTTGTTTGTTGATGTTTAGCATATCACTGGTATTATGTAAATTGTCACACAGAGCCCTCATCAACAATCTTTTATTATCTTTCTCCTTTCTAAATTTAGCCCAGTAAGTTCTTAATCATAGGGAACATTTAATATCGCTAAAGTAAAATATGTATTGACTTAGTGGTCCAAACCTTGAGCAACTTCCCCTCCTCATTCCTTTTAAATTCTGTTACAATTTTTGTGTCTCCATTAATGACCTCTGATATGGGCGGTAAGTGGTCTGAATGAAAACAAAGTACAGGTGTAATCACTACATGATGACCATACTTATAAATTATTTAATACATGAAGGTTACAAGTAATATTATCATGAATAGGAAAAGCTCTCCATAAAATGCTACTTAAAAAAATAGTCTTGTCCAGCCCAGAATTGAGAATGTTTAACAAACATGTAACAGAAAAATTTTTTCTGTTATATAAGAAACCTTTTATGGACTGAGTTTGTCAAGGACCCTACTGGGAGAACATCAGTTGTTGGTTTGGATGAGCCCAGCTGTGCTTGGTCTGTTTACCTTGAACCAGTACGTCCATTTACCTTGAACCAAAATTTCCCCAGTTGGATCCTTGTACTTTGTTATTAAAATGTATTCATGTATGAGAATCTCAAAATCACAATTACAATCAAAATGTATGTCGTTTCTCATAGGAAAGAAAATGGAGAGTTCCTTTAGCAGATCCAGATACGTGTAAACTCAATAAGAGCAATTACAGAATGCAGGGTCACTTTGGACCACCTCATTTACAAGTATCTTGTAACCTTTTGTAGAACGAGGCATAACACCATAGACACTCTCGTGGTTCAATGAGATGTAAATAAGTGGCCAAGTATAATCTGTAGTTTAGCTCTCGATAATCGAAATTAAACTGGACTAATAGGAATCAGCTGTACCTTCTTCTCCTTCTTCCACTAGATCAGCCCAACTTGGCTTCTCGCTAGGAACAAACAATATAAGATTAGTCAAGAATTTTACCACCTTACTAGTGACTGGGCATTACAAAGTTTCCCTGAATTAAAAATTGACTAAGCTTAAGCTTAAGTTTGCATAAGCTTATAAGATGGCGTCTGGCTGGGTGAAGTTGAAAGGAGAGCCACGTTTATTGAAAATGGACTTAAACTACACAGAAAAAGAGAAGACAAGCACTTACTCGGTGTCTTTATCAAGAACTGGCATCTGTGTTCTGATAATTTCCTAAATGTTAAAAAATGTCAGTCGAAAATAGCCCTTCTTTTCACACGTGAATCAGCGACAAATCTGTGGAGACCGCGATGTTCTGGTTAGCGGTGAAATTAAGGAGTGCATCAGCGTTATCAACAATTCCTTGCGATGCCAATCTTCAAGATGGCGGACGAGGTGAGTAAAACTAAAAAGCTCTAACAATTTTGACGAAGCACCTATCTGTTTATCAAAACCTTGAAATTTTTGGCGTGATTTTTAGGTAGAGGGAAAGCGTAAGAAGAAGGCGAAAAAGAAAGGTCAGTTATATTTTATCTCTTACGGTTGTTGATGAATCTCTTGAGTAAATCCGATCTTTCTAAGTGACAACTGCGCTTGTAAGCTCTTATTTGCATTGAGCTGTTATTGCAATTTAACCTGAATATTAATTTTAATTTGCAGCGAAACACAAACCTGAAAAGAGAAAGAGGGATTCATCTCTGGTACGAGATAATGGTGTTTTACCCTCAAAGTTGACGAAAACGGAGAACAACAGCTCTACGACATGTAGAGGTCAAGAACATGCAGTTTCTTCCTTACTGTTTATTCTATAATGTGCCTTTAAAATTTACATGTATGTTTGATTATGGGGTGTAATTTAATCCAGAAATTAAGTTCCTTTGTAGTTTAAGTTATGGAAACTGGAGACACTATTAAGTACTAGTACTGATAAGTAACCTGGCTCCGCCGTTCCTTAGAATAATATTATTATAAGAGGTGTACATAAACACTTTTGCAGTGGTTTTTAGCACGAATTGATGAATCCACGATGTCTGGTCGTTTCGATGCAAAGTCGTTTCAATATTCAATACATATCTAAAGTTGATTTTATACAAACTGAAGTCAATTCGATATCACCTCAATTTACCTAAAGTAGTTTCAATTCGCTGCAGAAATTTTGCACTGTAAACTTTGGGCTAAATCAGACGCATGTAGATACCCGGCAGCCGAGAGGTGTTTACAAAAAACTATACCTGGCAGTCTGAACCAGGGAATATCTCATTCAATTCTTCTTAGGATAATAAATCTTTGTCCAGAAATGCCAAGCATGTTCAAGTATTATTTTGGCCTTGATATCGTCAAAAATTGCAGTTGAAACCCCCCAAGAGTATTCTATTTCTTGTTTACTTTTGCAACCTCAGTTTGTATCGAATTGACTTCAGTTTGTAGCAAATTGATTTCAGTTTGTATCGAATTGACTTCATATGTATATTGAATCGACTTTGAGTTGTATCAAAATGACTTGTATTGAAATGACTTAGCATCGAAATGTCCATAAACCGAATCATCATAGCACAGTAAACATGGTATCATTTTGCTGCAGGTCGCCAATTTACTGTTAGTCTTGCTCTACCTGGCTCCATCCTTGACAATGCGCAATCGCCAGAACTGAGGACATACTTAGCAGGGCAGGTGAGAAAAATCATTTGCTAAATTGCATATAACACAATTGATTCTTGTGTCCATGTACCCATCATTAGCCAGTTTCAAGGGGCAGCTTTTATTTACTACGAATGCCTTACCCTGATATGGTGAAAAGCTGGTCTCCATATCTACTGGCCCAGTTTCAGTCTGGACAGTATCCTTGAGTCAAGCTCTTATTATATGTAGGTGCCACCCTTAACTTAGACCGTCCTGACAGGCTGTGCCACATCATGCCGCAGATACATTTAACCATAGGTATACAGGTACCTTCAGACTTGGGAGATGGTGGCCTTCTTGCCCCCAAAGGATTACACAACGCCTGAATGCGTGAGTGTTGAAATTGGAAAGAACCTGTTATAATTCCAAAATTAGTTGCTTTGAAACCCTGCATACTCTATGACTTTGATCACCGGCCAAGTAAAATCAGAAACTAATTAAAAGAAAAAATTATTTCTTCCATGTTCAAAAATTTCAAGAAACATTTTTATTAACAAAATTATTAAATGGTTCTTTGTGGAGCCATTCTAAAAGGCTCTTTTCAGGTCCACCACAAAGACAAAAGTCTTGGTTCGTTTGATTCTTTTGTCTTTGTCTCCTATGGAGTTGGAACTGACCGTTTATTCATCCAAGAACCATACCCACCGACAGGTCAAATCCTGTTTAAAGATCTGAATTCTTTGAGTGTTACTCTTGCAGATTGCTCGAGCTCTAGCTGTTTTCAATGTAGATGAAGTTGTTATCTTTGATGAGTCTGGAAAGGCCAAGAGTGAGTCTAGCAGTGGACTGAACCGAAAGTCAGACCCTAATATCTTGCTGGCAAGAATACTTCAGTATCTGGAATGTCCTCAGTATCTAAGGAAAAATTTCTTTCCAAAACACAGTGATTTACAATATGCAGGTACAATGTACATGTAGGTGTAGAAATACATTACCTGAAGTTTGTTGTTTCTTTATCATCAAGCATAATATTTATCATAAAGAAGTGACAACCATGATACGTAAGTCACTCTGTGGCTATTTGAGAGATGAAGAAAACATTCACCAGGTGACCTACTGCTCATACTCTCTTAATTTCCCCGGTGCTCTCAAATTCCCATTTTGTTTTATGACTTATCAGTATAATTTAAGACTTAAGCAATAGGTTTGTTGTTAAAGAATCAAATAATTTTGAGAAACCTTGCTTTCTAGGATTGTTAAATCCATTGGATACCCCACATCATATGAAAGTGGATGATGACATCCCCTACAGGGAGGGAGTGGTCCTTGAAAGACCTGTCAAGAAAGGGAGTGGTTCGTTTGTGAATGTTGGAATGCGGAAAGAGGTGCGAATTGATAAATCCATCAAGCCAGGTGTGAGAGTCACGGTCAAGATGGGGGACACATCAGGTGCATATGACAAGTGTTTCTCTCTGAGATTAATATAGATTAAACTACAAGAATCCCAAACTTCAGTTTGGAAAATGCCTTGTCTCAATAGTTATTTGGTTAAAACAACACTTACTTAATATATGTAAGAATCAATTAAGCCTCTTAACCAACTCAGTGTGTCAACAGAATTGAATTTCTTGTGTTGTCTCTTTTACCTATCCTTTCAATTCACAGTGAGCAGTGTAGGTTTATACAAATGTGCCCTGCCTCTCGATCTACTTGAAGTGTAACAAAATAATTTGCTAACAAACTAGATTGCTTGTTATGGTATTATAAAGATTCATATTTAAATCTCTCACATTGTTCCTTACCAACATTGACCAGTAATAAAATAGAACAGGAATGTTTTGGCCGCTTGATACATTGCACCTGTCTTCTAAATGGTTCTTATGCACATATTTTAACAGGCACAAAATTCTACACTGGAGCAGTTGTTTCTCCTAGCACACCCAGAACAGAAGAAGGACTGTATTGGGGCTACAGTGTAAGGCTAGCTTCTTCATTTGGGGCAGTGTTCACACAGAGTCCATACAAAGAGGGCTATGACATCACCATTGGAACTTCAGAAAGGGGGACCTCGGTAGATGCTCTAGAACTACCAAACTTTAGGTACCGTACAAAGAATGTTACCAATAACTTCAAAATTAAATAAAAAATTTTGATTTTCCCAAGTATGTGATGTTAATCTGTGGCACCTACAATGATTGTTTATTTATAGTTACTATTATTTTAGATTCATGGATGATTTGTAAAAGTTTCTGCAAATTAAAGTCACAGTGCTGTAATCTTAAATTCATAGCCAAATTTCTTCTTACACACACTTCCTTAGTTTATTACAGACAAGTCAATTTTTTTAAAACACCAGCATTCATACAAACTACCCTACAGAGAGCTCTGAGTGCAAGCAGAAAAATAAGAAACACGTCACAGAGGGGATATAAAATAAATAGTCAAATCCTCCCATGTAGTGAAAACACTTAATTTGTTGTTCGTAAGTAGGGTGAATCCATTGCTGTCTATACCGTATCTACAGTGTTGATGTACTTTTTCTTTTAGACATTTGCTAGTGGTGTTTGGTGGATTGAAAGGACTAGAGACTAGTTTAGAGTCTGATGAGAATTTACCGGCAAATGATCCATCTCTAGTGTTCGACTATTACGTGAACACTTGTCCTGGCCAAGGAAGTGGAACAATAAGAACAGAGGAGGCCATACTTGTCACGATGTCCGCCTTGAGACCAATCATAGCAAAAGCAACACAATGCCAGCTACCTTCAGTTGCCTCTTTGTAAAATGTGGGCCTCTAAAATGAGGCTGGAAGAAAGCGCAATTTGTACCCTCGGGGTGGTACCTAATATTAATCAATAATGTTCTGGGACGCCACTGGTTGTCTGATCTATATGGACTGATTTTCATTGATCGATTACTTTTTGTTTCTAAAGTAAACTGCCGAAAGTAACGAATCTAACGATCCTCCGAAAGTAACGTCAAAAAGTTGTGGCCGCTAAAGGTATCGCTTATGCCACGAAGAGTAGTGAAATGTCAATTCGTGCTTCTTAAGTTCAAGCTGGGCCGTGTTAAAACAAAACCCGTAGAGGTCCGGATAGTAGCAGACATTTTGCAATTTTAAGAAACAACACAACGCTTTTTAAAAACATGTTTCAACAGAGTCTGCTGTCATCTTCAGTTTAAATTACGAAGTACGGAATTGAGTATACAGTGTGCGCAAAATGCTAATTAACTATAAGAACAAAGGAAACATGGCAACGCGTAAAATAATACAAAGAAAGATATTTCACACCAAACATGTTACCTATTTTTAAGGACGAGAAAACTAACTTAATATCAATGCTGTTACAATAACGTTTAGCAAGGTGGCGACCCTTTTTTGCGTGATAATAGAAAAAGGACCAATGTAACGTAATTTAAAGTAAAAGGTACGTGTAGTGTCAGAGACGGAAGCCGGGGGACTACAGCCGTGACGTGTAAATGTGAGGTAACGATTAATANCCATAGACACTCTCGTGGTTCAATGAGATGTAAATAAGTGGCCAAGTATAATCTGTAGTTTAGCTCTCGATAATCGAAATTAAACTGGACTAATAGGAATCAGCTGTACCTTCTTCTCCTTCTTCCACTAGATCAGCCCAACTTGGCTTCTCGCTAGGAACAAACAATATAAGATTAGTCAAGAATTTTACCACCTTACTAGTGACTGGGCATTACAAAGTTTCCCTGAATTAAAAATTTACTAAGCTTAAGCTTAAGTTTGCATAAGCTTATAAGATGGCGTCTGGCTGGGTGAAGTTGAAAGGAGAGCTACGTTTATTGAAAATGGACTTAAACTACACAGAAAAAGAGAAGACAAGCACTTACTCGGTGTCTTTATCAAGAACTGGCATCTGTGTTCTGATAATTTCCTAAATGTTAAAAAATGTCAGTCGAAAATAGCCCTTCTTTTCACACGTGAATCAGCGACAAATCTGTGGAGACCGCGATGTTCTGGTTAGCGGTGAAATTAAGGAGTGCATCAGCGTTATCAACAATTCCTTGCGATGCCAATCTTCAAGATGGCGGACGAGGTGAGTAAAACTAAAAAGCTCTAACAATTTTGACGAAGCACCTATCTGTTTATCAAAACCTTGAAATTTTTGGCGTGATTTTTAGGTAGAGGGAAAGCGTAAGAAGAAGGCGAAAAAGAAAGGTCAGTTATATTTTATCTCTTACGGTTGTTGATGAATCTCTTGAGTAAATCCGATCTTTCTAAGTGACAACTGCGCTTGTAAGCTCTTATTTGCATTGAGCTGTTATTGCAATTTAACCTGAATATTAATTTTAATTTGCAGCGAAACACAAACCTGAAAAGAGAAAGAGGGATTCATCTCTGGTACGAGATAATGGTGTTTTACCCTCAAAGTTGACGAAAACGGAGAACAACAGCTCTACGACATGTAGAGGTCAAGAACATGCAGTTTCTTCCTTACTGTTTATTCTATAATGTGCCTTTAAAATTTACATGTATGTTTGATTATGGGGTGTAATTTAATCCAGAAATTAAGTTCCTTTGTAGTTTAAGTTATGGAAACTGGAGACACTATTAAGTACTAGTACTGATAAGTAACCTGGCTCCGCCGTTCCTTAGAATAATATTATTATAAGAGGTGTACATAAACACTTTTGCAGTGGTTTTTAGCACGAATTGATGAATCCACGATGTCTGGTCGTTTCGATGCAAAGTCGTTTCAATATTCAATACATATCTAAAGTTGATTTTATACAAACTGAAGTCAATTCGATATCACCTCAATTTACCTAAAGTAGTTTCAATTCGCTGCAGAAATTTTGCACTGTAAACTTTGGGCTAAATCAGACGCATGTAGATACCCGGCAGCCGAGAGGTGTTTACAAAAAACTATACCTGGCAGTCTGAACCAGGGAATATCTCATTCAATTCTTCTTAGGATAATAAATCTTTGTCCAGAAATGCCAAGCATGTTCAAGTATTATTTTGGCCTTGATATCGTCAAAAATTGCAGTTGAAACCCCCCAAGAGTATTCTATTTCTTGTTTACTTTTGCAACCTCAGTTTGTATCGAATTGACTTCAGTTTGTAGCAAATTGATTTCAGTTTGTATCGAATTGACTTCATATGTATATTGAATCGACTTTGAGTTGTATCAAAATGACTTGTATTGAAATGACTTAGCATCGAAATGTCCATAAACCGAATCATCATAGCACAGTAAACATGGTATCATTTTGCTGCAGGTCGCCAATTTACTGTTAGTCTTGCTCTACCTGGCTCCATCCTTGACAATGCGCAATCGCCAGAACTGAGGACATACTTAGCAGGGCAGGTGAGAAAAATCATTTGCTAAATTGCATATAACACAATTGATTCTTGTGTCCATGTACCCATCATTAGCCAGTTTCAAGGGGCAGCTTTTATTTACTACGAATGCCTTACCCTGATATGGTGAAAAGCTGGTCTCCATATCTACTGGCCCAGTTTCAGTCTGGACAGTATCCTTGAGTCAAGCTCTTATTATATGTAGGTGCCACCCTTAACTTAGACCGTCCTGACAGGCTGTGCCACATCATGCCGCAGATACATTTAACCATAGGTATACAGGTACCTTCAGACTTGGGAGATGGTGGCCTTCTTGCCCCCAAAGGATTACACAACGCCTGAATGCGTGAGTGTTGAAATTGGAAAGAACCTGTTATAATTCCAAAATTAGTTGCTTTGAAACCCTGCATACTCTATGACTTTGATCACCGGCCAAGTAAAATCAGAAACTAATTAAAAGAAAAAATTATTTCTTCCATGTTCAAAAATTTCAAGAAACATTTTTATTAACAAAATTATTAAATGGTTCTTTGTGGAGCCATTCTAAAAGGCTCTTTTCAGGTCCACCACAAAGACAAAAGTCTTGGTTCGTTTGATTCTTTTGTCTTTGTCTCCTATGGAGTTGGAACTGACCGTTTATTCATCCAAGAACCATACCCACCGACAGGTCAAATCCTGTTTAAAGATCTGAATTCTTTGAGTGTTACTCTTGCAGATTGCTCGAGCTCTAGCTGTTTTCAATGTAGATGAAGTTGTTATCTTTGATGAGTCTGGAAAGGCCAAGAGTGAGTCTAGCAGTGGACTGAACCGAAAGTCAGACCCTAATATCTTGCTGGCAAGAATACTTCAGTATCTGGAATGTCCTCAGTATCTAAGGAAAAATTTCTTTCCAAAACACAGTGATTTACAATATGCAGGTACAATGTACATGTAGGTGTAGAAATACATTACCTGAAGTTTGTTGTTTCTTTATCATCAAGCATAATATTTATCATAAAGAAGTGACAACCATGATACGTAAGTCACTCTGTGGCTATTTGAGAGATGAAGAAAACATTCACCAGGTGACCTACTGCTCATACTCTCTTAATTTCCCCGGTGCTCTCAAATTCCCATTTTGTTTTATGACTTATCAGTATAATTTAAGACTTAAGCAATAGGTTTGTTGTTAAAGAATCAAATAATTTTGAGAAACCTTGCTTTCTAGGATTGTTAAATCCATTGGATACCCCACATCATATGAAAGTGGATGATGACATCCCCTACAGGGAGGGAGTGGTCCTTGAAAGACCTGTCAAGAAAGGGAGTGGTTCGTTTGTGAATGTTGGAATGCGGAAAGAGGTGCGAATTGATAAATCCATCAAGCCAGGTGTGAGAGTCACGGTCAAGATGGGGGACACATCAGGTGCATATGACAAGTGTTTCTCTCTGAGATTAATATAGATTAAACTACAAGAATCCCAAACTTCAGTTTGGAAAATGCCTTGTCTCAATAGTTATTTGGTTAAAACAACACTTACTTAATATATGTAAGAATCAATTAAGCCTCTTAACCAACTCAGTGTGTCAACAGAATTGAATTTCTTGTGTTGTCTCTTTTACCTATCCTTTCAATTCACAGTGAGCAGTGTAGGTTTATACAAATGTGCCCTGCCTCTCGATCTACTTGAAGTGTAACAAAATAATTTGCTAACAAACTAGATTGCTTGTTATGGTATTATAAAGATTCATATTTAAATCTCTCACATTGTTCCTTACCAACATTGACCAGTAATAAAATAGAACAGGAATGTTTTGGCCGCTTGATACATTGCACCTGTCTTCTAAATGGTTCTTATGCACATATTTTAACAGGCACAAAATTCTACACTGGAGCAGTTGTTTCTCCTAGCACACCCAGAACAGAAGAAGGACTGTATTGGGGCTACAGTGTAAGGCTAGCTTCTTCATTTGGGGCAGTGTTCACACAGAGTCCATACAAAGAGGGCTATGACATCACCATTGGAACTTCAGAAAGGGGGACCTCGGTAGATGCTCTAGAACTACCAAACTTTAGGTACCGTACAAAGAATGTTACCAATAACTTCCAAATTAAATTAAGAGTTTTGATTTTCCCAAGTATGTGATGTTTATCTGTGGCACCTACAATGATTGTTTATTTATAGTTACTATTATTTTAGATTCATGGATGATTTGTAAAAGTTTCTGCAAATTAAAGTCACAGTGCTGTAATCTTAAATTCATAGCCAAATTTCTTCTTACACACACTTCCTTAGTTTATTACAGACAAGTCAATTTTTTTAAAACACCAGCATTCATACAAACTACCCTACAGAGAGCTCTGAGTGCAAGCAGAAAAATAAGAAACACGTCACAGAGGGGATATAAAATAAATAGTCAAATCCTCCCATGTAGTGAAAACACTTAATTTGTTGTTCGTAAGTAGGGTGAATCCATTGCTGTCTATACCGTATCTACAGTGTTGATGTACTTTTTCTTTTAGACATTTGCTAGTGGTGTTTGGTGGATTGAAAGGACTAGAGACTAGTTTAGAGTCTGATGAGAATTTACCGGCAAATGATCCATCTCTAGTGTTCGACTATTACGTGAACACTTGTCCTGGCCAAGGAAGTGGAACAATAAGAACAGAGGAGGCCATACTTGTCACGATGTCCGCCTTGAGACCAATCATAGCAAAAGCAACACAATGCCAGCTACCTTCAGTTGCCTCTTTGTAAAATGTGGGCCTCTAAAATGAGGCTGGAAGAAAGCGCAATTTGTACCCTCGGGGTGGTACCTAATATTAATCAATAATGTTCTGGGACGCCACTGGTTGTCTGATCTATATCGACTGATTTTCATTGATCGATTACTTTTTGTTTCTAAAGTAGACTCCCGAAAGTAACGAATCTAACGATCCCCCGAAAGTAACGTCAAAAATTTGTGGCCGCTAAAGGTATCGCTTATGCCACGAAGCGTAGTGAAATGTCAATTCGTGCTTCTTCAGTTCATGCTGGGCCTTGTTAAGACAAAACCCTTGGAGGTCCGGATAGTAGCAGACAGTTTGCAATTTTAAGAAACAACACAGAGTCTTCTGTCATTTTCAGTTTAAATTACGAAGTACGGAATTGAGTATATAGTGTGCGCAAAATGCTAATTGACTATAAGAACAAAGGAAGCATGACAACGCGTAAAATAATACAAAGAAAGTTTCAAATTAAAATGATTAAGTTGATGATTTGATGTAGGTTTTTCCCATTGAAAATGAATAGCTTCTTTTATCTTAAGCTGGAAGGTGGTGGAAGTGTGATCTAGGATACTGAAACAGTCATTAGAGCATGAAGTGCGGCATTGCTGAGAATTTTGCAAGTGTTTAAAATGTGAGAGGTCCTGTCACTGAACATGTGCTCACGAACGCGCGTGGAAAAATGCCGGGTGGCATTACAGCCCGCGCACAAAACCTGGTATAGTCATACCTCACCCGCACGGAGCCCAGGAGGGATAGGATATTTCACAACAAACATGTTACCTATTTTTAAGGACGAGAAAACTAACTTAATATCAATGCTGTTACAATAACGTTTAGCAAGGTGGCGACCCTTTTTTGCGTGATAATAGAAAAAGGACCAATGTAACGTAATTTAAAGTAAAAGGTACGTGTAGTGTCAGAGACGGAAGCCGGGGGACTACAGCCATGACGTGTAAATGTGAGGTAACGATTAATATTTTCAACTAGATGGACTGGAAAAAGATTCTTTTAAAGGATATTGGTAAGTTTCGTGATGTCCTCGTGAAAACCCAACCAAGGTTTCATCAAGAAACAGGAACGTATCAACAGGAACGTTTCTTTAAATTAAAACTGACAACTCTATGTCATTTTCAAAAGGAGTGTATTAAAAGGAACGTTTTGAAATCTCGACCAACTCACTGAGATAGCAGTGCTTCAGTTTACAGTATCTGACTAGCTTTCCTGCTGACCACAGACAACACGGTCTAGGCATGAAGAGCCCACGCATGTGGTAGTAACATAGGTTTAAACTGGAACGGAGAATTTCATTTGATGTTGAAGAACTGTTTTCCGTCGTTTATTTCGTAAACAGAGCTCAGTCGTGCTAACTTCATATGACTGGCGTTTTTTGCTTTTCGAAAGTAACGACCCCCCGATAGTAACGACCCCACGAAAGTAACGAGCCCCAAAGGCTGCTAATCCCGAAAGTAACCAGGGTCGTTAATGACTTTCGGAAGTTGACAGTAATTCTCCATGTTATCTTTTAATTTTCCTGTGGAATTTTTCTAGACATCCAGGTCGGTTAGTTTTGGACTTACAGTATGTGACTGTGGTACTGATGTCAGGTTTGTTTGACGTATTGAGTTTAATATAATATCTTGCATAGTTTCTTCCCTCGCTAAGTTTTTGAGTCTGCTGACAGTATTATGTTTGGATTCGTTGGTCAAAAGTATATACTGATTCGTTGGAAGATGGAAGAACTCGATCGTGAAGGTTTCTCCTTTTTATTTTGAAATCGTGTCTTCCAGGAAGATACTTCCGACTGCACATCTTCTAGGAAGTTGGCAATAACGTTAGTTATGAGAGAAAATTGGTGTTTCACCTCGTTGAAGGACGTAAGCCAATCTGGCAATATTGAGGTTATGGTGGGGTGTAGAGAAATTGGTAATTTTATGCTTAAGGGATGGACAAAAGTCTCCTTGGTTTTAGACAACAACGGGGACATCAAGCAGTCACTCTTTTCCTCGAAAATGCTGTCTCTCTTTTCGCTCGTCTTTCGACGCCCGCGCTACTAGCTGCTCGCGGTATTGCAGCTCCTACGTCGGTAAGTATGTATACCTTATCATGGTGTATTTAGGACTTCCTGTTAATTCTCCCATATTCCCTGTGCTTCCCTGCATTCCTCATTGTTATTCTTTTGCATTCCCCTGTATATTCCTCTGCATTCTCTCGTATTCTCTTGTATTCTCCTGTGTTTTCTTGTATTCCCCTGTATTCCCTAGTATTCCCCTTTATTCTCTTGTATTCCTCTGTATTCTCTTTTATTATATGGCTGCGTCTCACAAAGACTGGGAACTACCGAATTCACGAATATGATTGGCTGAAATCGATATTGACCGCGGTCTAGCTTTTCCCATCTAGACCGGCATCTAGCTAGACCGCTTTCATTTTGCGTTGACAAAGTAGCAAACTAAAATACAAAAATGTTCACCATTTTCTTTTATTTTCTTCT